TGGGAGTGTGAGAGATGGTGGGAAGGAGGAAGCAGGGAGTGGGAGTGAGGGAAGGATGTGAAAAGAGTAGCTAGTTAGAAAGTAGCAAGTTGAAACCAGATTTTTGGGTCACTTAGGTTTGAGATAGCCAATAGATTTTGTAGGTAAACCCACAGTGTAGTTAGGGAGGGAGTTCTAGAATTTTGACCCGGTGAATAGGAAAATGAGGAGCTTGGATCAAGAGGAAGTGAGCCTTTGGTGAATCGTGTGCAGTGGAGCCAGGGTGTCACATTGTTTTGAGACTTCTTTTGAATTAAAGGGCTGTGCTGCTAACTTGGGTTCTAAAGAAATATTCACAGACACAGTTGCAACCTCAGGCCAATCTGCTTTGATGGGTCGTGGTGGTACTTCATCTCCCTGGTGTTTGCAGTGCTGCAGCAATCTTCTCTGTGTTTGTCACTATTGGGGCACAAAAACCAGGAGACTAACTTTGACTTTATAGGGGGCGACTATTTCTCTTCTCCCCTGCCCTCAAAAGACGGATTAGAAAGATGGGGGCTCAAATTATGTCAAACATTGGCTTTGAAGGGGTAAACTTTCAGGACAACAATCTTCACTGAGAGAAAAATAATATAGGAAATGTAACTTTCATGTTTTATTTTGTCTTGCAGTCACGATATTGAGTGTCTCCAAGCACAAAGGATTTTGTTACAGCTGCTTCAGAATTGTTTGGTGTTACTGTCTGGACCTCAGCCTTCAAAAACCCAGGCCACAGCACAATCTACTGCCGAGAGCAAGCCCCCTATCGATAGAGAATCTGCTCGTGATCTCTATGTGTATCTTTGTAAAGGTAATGTGTAGCACCGATTTAGTGGTGGTTTGAGTAGTTTGTGTTTTGTATATTTCTTGAAAGGTTTTAAAAGAAGTATTTTGGTAAGTGTTAGTGACGCCTTATCCTTTTATACATTCCTACTGGGGAAGTAAGAATGGATGATTGTTTGCACACTGGGTTGTGTAATGTGTATAGCTGAGGTACTGAAGTCCCAAGAATTTAGCACTGCTGCACCTTTCGAGCTGGTGGTTCGTAGTGCAGCTCTGAATAACCTTGTGTTTTCTCTGAGTAGTAGTGGACGATGCAGAATATGACACGGTTTCTGGGGTGATGCTGAGGAAGGAGGCTGTAAATACCATCCTTAGTGGAGCAGCCATCTTTTTTCCTGATGTGCAGACCCGACGAGATCAGCTGTTTAAAATGATGGTGAGGCTCAGTATACTTTTCAGGCCGAGTTTTGTCTTTATGATTAAAGTGTAGCCTATGCACTGTATTATACTGCCAGGCCTCCCAACTTGTACTCTTTAACTTTTGTAGGAAACTGTCATTGAACCATCTCAACCTCAGTCTGCCACAATTACGTTCCAGTCCCTGTGTCATTACTTCAGGTGAGTCAGACATGTACAGGATTTTAAAAAGACGTGGGGACTAGAAAGGGGGGAAAAGAAACCCTTCTGCTTGTACAGCTTCTTTCATGACTTCACGATGCTCCAGAAGTGCTTTAGAGTCAATTTAGTTTTGAAACGGAAACAGAAATCGCTTGAAAAGCTCAACGGGTCTGACAGCACCTGTGGAGAGAAATCAGAGTTAATGTTTTGGGTCCAGTGATCCTTCCTTAAAATGGGGAAAGGGTCACTGGACCTGAAACATTAATTCTGATTTCTCTCCACAGATACTGCCAGACCCGCTGAACTTTTCCAACAATTTCTGTTTTTGTTTCTGATTTACAGCATGTGCAATTCTTTCTTTATTGAGTACTTTTCAAAAAGTAGTCATTATAATAATGGAGTGAAACTGAGCAGGCAATTTGTCTGGTATAGATAAGGTGAATGGCAGGTGTCTGTTTGCTAGGCTGGGGCATATTTTTACGATGAGAGGAAGAAGATTTAAAAAAGACATTAGAGGTAACATTTTTACGCAGAATGGCTCGTGTGTGGAATGGACTTCCGGATGAAGTGGTGGATGCAGGTACAGTTACAATATTTCAAAGACATTTCGATAAGTACATGAGTAAGAGAGATTTGGAGGGATTGGGCCAGTGCAAACAGATGGGACTAGTTTAGTTTGGAATTAGGGTCGACATGGACTGGTTGGACCGAAGGGTCTGTTTCCGTGCTGTATGACTCTCTGATAAGGCCGGACAAACAGATGAGATAAAAATGACCATGTCATTTAGTTTAATGACTGGTTAAGTATCGACTGGGATGCCAGAATTTCCTTGGCCTTCACTTGCATTCATTTACATTTACCTGGGACTACATGAACTGAATTCATTCTCACTGGAAAGATAGCACCATGAGCAATGCAATGCAGCAGTAAAGTATCAGCCTAGATTGTAGGCTTAAATCTCCAGAAGGGAGCTTGACCTCATGAGCTCTGACTTGGACGCACACTCCCACCTCCGAGCCAAGGTCCTCTTTACAAAATATGTAGAGGGCAAAAAGTAACAGCTCTGTTTTATCTGTTAATAAAGGTGTATTAATGGATCTAAGGTAAGGGAGAATAACACTCGTTTGCATTTTTGTAAAGTTATAGCACAGAATTAAATTGATTGCAGGAAACCAAACATGTTTCCTTTCACAGTTCCTCCATGCTTCCAGATTTGAGCTGTATTCATGCTATTCCTCTGCCTAGTTAGAGTCTGGATTAATCCTGCTCCTCAAAAGGAGTCCTCCTTCCTCTTGTAAGTTTATACAAAATATCAAGACTAGAGCCCTTAGTGATCTGAATAAAATTTTGGGGAAGTTGAGGTAGAGAACTAGTCAGTTTGGTGACAGTTGGAGGAAATTATTCAACTTAAAATTATGGAATTAAATTTCAATACATTAAATTTCAGGGTGATAACTCAGTAAATTATCTGTTGCTTATTTGGTCAGCATCCAGAAGTAATGTTAGATCATGCTAACATCAAAGTACATGAATTTCAGTTCTGTATTACCAAGTGACTTAAAGTTGAAATGAAATGTTTGGAGAATAATTTCAAGAAGTATCCATTTATCAAGCATAATTTAAGGGAGCCGTCCTTGTCAGTTCTCTTTGGTACGCTCTGTCACTCACCGCCAGCCCTGCTCAAACTGCTGAGGTGGCAGGCCCTGTAACTGATCCCAGAAATTTCTAACTGGCATCCCATCTTTTGCTGTTAATAAGATGCACCTATCACACAAGCTCATTTTAGCAGAACAGCCAGCTTTGTGTTACCTGATGTAATGCTGCTACCCGTACAGAACAGTATATCCTCCGACCTACCTGGAGTAGTGATGTATAGATCTATTTCATCTAGAAAGAAGCTTCAAACCTATGTTACATATGTGTTTTGATCTATAAATGTATCTGTGGGTATTTTTTTCCTGGAGCTTTGCCATGATGGTTGTTGGAGATTTTCTATTCCAATCTCGAAAATGGGACAATTGGCCATTCTTTTGGGATTGTCTGTTTTTCTAAAACAAAAAGACCATGATCAGTTTATGTACAGAAGCCAGGTTTTGATTTAATCAAATTAAAAGTCAGTGTGTTCTAACTGAGCTATATTCAAGTTGAAACCGAAAGAACTGCGGATGTTATAAATCGGAACAAAAACAGAAGTTGCTGGAAAAGCTCAGCAGGTCTAACAGCATCTGTGAAAGAAAAAACAGAGTTAACGTTTTGAGTCCGGTGACCCTTCCTCAGAACTAAATTCAAGTTGAGCTGCTGTAGCAAAGACTCAAGTTGCTATTTGTGGTCCAACCTGCTAAAAGTTGCCTCACCTCTAAGGAAAATAATTCATTAATGTTCTGGTTGGATCAATCCAGGAATGAGTGTCTTTTACATAATGGAGTTGTACAGTGAGCTTTGGCAGTCTGTAAGAGTTAGTAAGTCAGAAGATTCCTTTGACCAAGTGCATAAGGAACAGCCAAAACTGAGTGTCACCTGTGGCCCCGTTAAACTTTGTTTCCTTCATTTTTCAGTATGCAGCATTAATGGATCTAAATGATTATTTTCTGGACTAATTGTGGTAATTTGTATTATTTTCTGACCCAGCAATCAAGATCCAAGTGGGCTTCTTCAGTTGCCGCAGAAGGGCGTTCCTGCAGATTTTGACATTAATTCAGTAATGATGGTCATGGATACTTTGCTGTTAGTTGCAACACGAGAGGTAAAAGGACTGTTATCTATGCTCTTTAAGTGAATGAATGATTAAATATTTTTGGCAAAAGGTTGATAATTTGCATTTGAAATTACAGCATAACCACAGAATACATTTGTCATCAAACATAACCTATTACACAACTACCTGTGAAATTCTGTTAACTTCAGTGTTGAAGGGAATGACTCAACAGAAGGGCAGGAGGAGGCAAGGCAGGGAGGGAGAAAGCAAGGTCAGAACATGGCAGCGGGATAAGCTTGAAGGCATGACTAGGGCAAGGTTGGAGGGAGGCAATTCCCGGGAAGTAACGCTGCAGTGGGGGCTTCAAATTTAAATGAGGACTGTGAACATTAAAGAAGGACACAGGCCTTACAAATGAAACAATGTTAGACAAGGCAGATTAAAGTGAGGACTTCAGGTGTACATGTGCTTCTTGTTCAGTTTCCTTTTTGTTAAGGACCAGACCAAACTTCCTCAAAATATATTAAGAAGATAGCCTAGGCCTGAGCTTTTTCATAGTTTAAAGGTAAGTGTGAGACGTTGGATTCCGAATGTAATTCCATTAGCCAAACTACTTGAATTCAAGCAAAATACACTTTATTTTTACACATCAGTTAAAATATAGACAAAATAAAAATTAAAGAATTTGCTCAACTGTAACTCTATCAGTGCTTAACAAAATAATTGTTCTAACATAGTAACATCCCATAAACACACCCTTGGCAAAGGCAAATTCAGTAAAATAGATTGATTCACATGCAATTCTAGCAGCAGGAAGGGAACCCCAGCTTTTGGCTATAATAGAGACCTATCACAGCTATCACCTAAAGGTGTTCACACACTGCATTTTATTAACTGTAATAAAAGTTTAAAAATGTTACACTCCATTTAAGTTTGTTTGCTGTAATAACCCAAATACAAAAATTCCATTATTCAAGTAGTACAAGACCAGAGATCTCAAAATGCCCATGATTCAGATCAGGCAGTGAGATCTTAGATGATCTGTAATTTTATCTTCAACTGCTTTTTAAATCTCAACCATTGTTATAAAGCTGAGGTTGACCTTCCTCTGATAACTAAAACCGAAACACCCAGAGAGGCGAGCCACACCCCATAATGTGTTAAAAGAGCTCCAATCTGTTATAAAGGAGTGGTTAAATAAAATAAACCCCAACATTCTCTTTATAATCAACAAGTAACAATTTATTTATCTAACTCTAACAGTGAATAAACTAACTAAACTATTAACAAAACGAATACCCCTTTCTAACTACTAACTATTCCCAAATAAAACAAGATTATAATTATATGCTATTGCAATAAATACAACTCCCACTTACATAAGATTTTAAAAAAATTAGAATTTAGTCTCTCGAAATTACAGCCAGGTTACGTCTTCTGGAATGTTCTGTGTCTTCTTTGATGAATCCTTCTGTCAGGAACACCTTTGTGGTGAATCCTACTGTCAGGAACGTTAACAGCTTGTGCCATAGGTACCTTTAATTTAGATGGAACTTTCTCGCAGGCTAGACAATTCTGTGAGACCCAGCGATTCTTTCTTTTGGAGCTGAGACCTGTTCTTTTGGCAGATGATAGCTAGCTATCTGCCGATTTTCCAAATGTCCTCATCATTTATACCCTTCATGACGTATAAGATTGGTCCTATGTTGTCAAAATCATCAGATTTAAATTTAGTTGGTGTTTTGGTACCAAAGGGCCTGGTTTAAATTAATTGGCTAAATTTAAAAACCTGTTGTCTTGGTAAAAATGCTGTTTGGCCTGCTAACAGGATGGCCTTTTGATACAAATGTTTCAATACAGGTGCTCTGTGCACCTGCAAACCCACAGACATCCTTTATGAATCTCTAAACATAGGAAAAGCACATTATCTTTTAAAGGGACCATGTACTGCTTTCCCCATCGTGATTTACAAACACCGACCTTCTGATGCCCTGTCTTCTAATCCATAAGTACTCTACACAACTTTGCAACACCATTCAAAACTTAAACCTGTTATTTATTCCAGTTCTAATAGTGAAAAGCTCCACTGTAACTCTGAACTAAGAAATGCAAGTTGAGATAGCTTTAGTGGTGAAACATGTACAGAAGATGAAGTGGGAGCAAGAGATGGAATTGAGAAAAATAAGAACTAAGGAAAAACATTTTAAAAAGGTATCCTTTTACATCTGCAACAATGATTAAGATTTGAAGAAATGAGATTTCGGATTTATAAAAGTTAATTTTCAGCACCAGATAATTGCTGTCAAAGAACCGAAGAACTAATGTGCTGTTTAATAGTCACTTACACTTAAATGGACAAGGTCTTTTCTTATGTCAATTTGTGGGTCATTTATTGGCAGTCCCTTGCAGACCAGGATAACTCTCTTCCACTCTCAGGGTGAGTCCGTAGGTGGATGTACAGACCGATGCAGCTACCACAGGCTCAGTTACACTTGGAGCAGAAGGTGGTTGCAGGAAGGGGTGGGTGGGACTGCTTTTGCTGCTTTCGCCTGGCTTCCATTTTTTCCCAACGGCAAGTCTTGCAGTGCTTGATGCCTTCCCGGATGCTGCTGCTCCTCCACTTTGGATGGTCTTGGTCCAGTGATTCCCAGGTGTCTGTGGGAATGCCGCACTTTGTCAATGAGGCGTTGAGCGTATCACTGAAGCACATCCTGTGTCCACCTGGGGCTCGCCTGCTGTTTCGAAGCCGGGAATAGAGCACCTGCTTGGTGAGTCTTGTGTCGGTCGTGCAGATGACCTGCCCAACCCACTAGCTGATCAAGGGAGGTTAGTGTTTCAACGTTGGTGAATTTGGCCTGGTCGAGGACGCTGGTTTTGGCCTGTCTTTATTCTCAGCGGATTTGCAGATCTTGCACAGACAGCATTGGTGGTACTGCTTTGGTGCCTTGAGGTGTCTGCTGTAGGCATTCAACGTCTCAGCTTTCCAGGAAGGTGGGAACCACTACAGCCCTGTAAACCATGATCTTGGTGTCGGATCTGGTGATGTTGTCCTTGAACACCCTTTTCCTCAGATGGCCAAAGGCTGCACTGGCACACCGGAGGCAGTGTTGGATCTCCTCACCAATAGCTGCTTTGGCTGACCAGATACTCCTGAGGTATTAGAAGTGGTGAGTCTTCTGTAAGACCTCCCTGCGGACTTTAATGATCAGGGATTCACTCCACATTGCCAGGCCAAGTTGATGGAGGACCTTTGTCTTGCGGTTGTTTAGGGTGAGACTCATGCTCTCTTGTGCCTCCGTAAAGATGCTGACACTGGTCTGGAGTATATCCCCTGAGATTGCACATATGGAAGCACCGTCTGATACTATAGCTCGATGACACTGGTTGGGGTGACTTTGCTTTTGGCTTAAAAGTGGCAGAGGTTGAATAATTTCCCAAAGGTTTTGTTAGCTCCACTCCAGCAGGGAGCTTGTTGGTGGTGGGGTGAAGCATTGCAGCGAAGTAGATCAAGAGCAGTGTTGGACGATGACGCAGCCTTGCTTGACAATGGTCTGAATGGGCAATGGGTCTGTGGTGGAGCCGTTTGTCATTACCATGACTTCCATGTTGTCGTGCAGTAGGCGAAGGATGGTGACAAACTTTATGGTGCAACCAACGCTCTACAATGCTTTCCGATCAACAGTGTCGAAGGTCAAAGAAGGCCATGTACGGGGGTTGGTTCTTTTCTCCTGCAGCTGTCATGCAGTGAAAACCATGTCCATTGTGTCCCTCCGTGGCCAGATGCCCACTGCGATTCTGGTGGAGTTCCTTAGTCACAGGAAGGAGACGGTTGAGGAGGACCTTGCTGCTGACTTTTCCAATGGTTGACAGCAGGGCGATTTCCCCTGTAGTAGCCGCAGTCGGACCTGTTCCTTTTTTTTTTAAAGAATACTCATGACTGTGGCATCTTGGAGCTCTCCTAGGATGCTAACCTCCTTCCAGACAAGGACGTGTAGCTGCAGCAGGAGCTCTTCACCTCAGCACTTCAATGCCTCAGTGGGGATGCTGTCTGCTGCAGCAACCTTGTAGTTCTTAAGCTGGCAGATGGCCTTCTGTACTTCGTGCAGAGCTGGTGTGTTTCTGAGCTCATGACGTGTAGCGTGCTGTGGGCTGTGTTCAAGGATGCTTGGATCGACGACAGAGCCCTGGCTGGGGAGGTCTCTGAACTGCTTCCCCTCAACATTATTTGATGGCTTCTTTAACTTGGATAAGAGCCATTTTGTGGGTATCTATCACTTGAGTCCAGCAAGTTTACATACTTTATTATTGAGTATCTCAGTGAAACTCTGTGAAAGCTGGAGTAGTGGGGAAACCTTGACAGCAGCTTCCTGATTGCAAAGATGAAATAGGAGCAGGAGTAGGCCACCTGGCTCCTTGGGTCTGCTGTGCCGTTCGATTACATCATCATCGCTCATCCACAGAATGCAATTATGACATTTTCTGCTTATGTCTCAAATGCTGGAAGTGGCGGTCTGATTGACTCCTCAATAATGGAGGGAACCCCTCTGTCATATTTACTGGAAACTCTGGGAAAACCTCTAATGCCTGCAACTGTTTCCATTTGTTGCATCAAAATGATTTGTAAAGTTATAAATATACAAGATGACTTTACACACACATCAGAGTCACAATGGTGTCAGTAATAGGAGCAAGGAATTCGTCTCAACTTTCTTTGACATGCAGGCTAGACATGGGAAATATAGCAATGTTTTTGTTCTCTATAATGTTAGTGTTTTCACCCACTATGAATTTTGAAACAGTCTACCCTTATCAGTTCAACATTTGTGTGCAATCAGTAAATATTACTACATGAAAGTTAAAGATTAAAGTAAGTAACAAAATTGACGATGTTTTAAATATATCAAAATTTAACCTATCCACTTCTACTTTGCTGTTGCTTGTAACCAGACGAGAAGATTTGCTTGAATGGTGGCTGCTTCCTTTGTGCTTTCAATGCCAGAAGCATTTCTGCTCTTTTGAAAATATATTTGATGTCCACCTTTAAACAA